CGAGTGCCTTGCACCGCGCGTCGACCCTGCCCATGTCAAATTCGGCGGGCTTGGCCATCAGGACCAGCAGACGGGACGACTGGTTCTGTGTGCCGTGTGCTCTAGATGCTGTGCTCTGCCCCCACGGGGCGTGCCGTGATCTTGGCGATATCTTCCACGGGCGCAGGAGCCACCCCTCGACCCGCTCCTCGCAAGACTCTTGAATATGTATGACATGTGCTGCAGGAGGGGGGGCAGTCCTAAGACGGGGAAGGCGGCCGCACGTCTTTTGTTCAAGGGACCGGTGGTGGCCCGCCCTGGGTCGCAGAGCACCGCCTATGCAAAGTCGCCTCGCGGTGCTGGTTTTGCAGCCTCGCTCAGCTTGAGGCGGAGTGAGGGTGCCCCCTCGTTTTACCTCTGCGCTTCCATCTCGGCTCGGTTGCACCTCAGATTGGTTGCGCCTTCCTCCCTCCTCGGGGCAGAACCACGCACAATCACGTGCGGATCAGCTTATGACTCCTCCATGTCCTCCCATGCTTGCCCCTGCCTTCCTCCTGAATCTCCCTCGTCTCGTCCCTCCTCACTCCTCCTCTCCTCACTGCACGAGCACAGAAACTGGCGACACAGACTCCTCATCCTCCTTATCTCTTCTCTCTACTCCACCCTCCCTTCCTGGCCACAGCGTCGGAGTGGCCCAGGAATGTATCGATCCATCCGGCGGAGGATAAGGGCAGATGCCTCTAGAGCACCCCTCGTGAGCGTCGGCTTGATGCCTTCTCGTGCCGTCGTCGCCTAACCCCTCTCCCTCCCCGCCTCTCCATCCTCCCGACCCGCCCCGCTTCCCCCCCTTGGTCCTGCAGGGGAGTCCGCGCTTCCTTCCAACCCACGTCCAGAGAATTACCTTCCCCCGTCCATCTCCCTTCCCCTCCTCCCCCCCCACCCCCCTCGCCCCCCTCCTCTCCGCTCCTCCCTCGCCCCCCCCCCCCACCCCCGCCGCACGCCCCCCCCCCCCCGCGCGCCACAGGGCCGCAGGCACGGCGAGGTGCCGGCCGAGCCGCAGGTGATAGGCGTCGGCCCCCCGGCGCAGGGCGAGCCGAGCCTGTGGTATCAGGCGGGCGCGCCGCGCCGCGCCTCGGGGGGGGGGGGGGGGGGGCCCTCCGCTGTTCTGCGGCAAGCGGCACACGCTCTCCTCCTCCTCCTCCTCCTCCTCCTCCTCCTCCTCTCCTCCTCCTCCTCCTCCTCCTCCTCCCCTCCTCCTCCTCCCTCCTCCCCTCCTCCCTCCTCCCTCCTCCTCCCTCCCTCCCCCCTCCTCCCTCCTCCTCCTCGACCCTCCCCCTCCTCCCTCCTGCTCCCCCCTCCTCCCTCCACCTCCTCTCCCTCCTCCCTCCCCCTCCAGATCCCAATCTACTTGGAGCACCTTCCTGCAGGAATCGATGAGTTAGCCCCCACCCGACAGGCTGGGGCTGTTGGATTTCAAGAACAGGCCTCCCGACCCGTCCAGACCGCATACCGCGGCCGCCAGGTCCCCAGGTCTACCGAGTATCCCCCGAGGGTCCCGCCTCGCGCCTTCGACAAACGCAAAACGAAGCATAATGTAGCACAGCATTCTAGCACAGAGCACTGCATAGCCTGACACATCACGAAACGACAGAGCTCGGCATAGCATACGAAACACTAGCAGAATACAGCGTAGCATAGCACCATAGGGTATGGCAGACCGGACCGCACAGAGCAGATCAGACTACCACGCCACACAGCATACCATGACATAACATGACATTCCATATCGTGGCATAATATATCATACCACAAAACACCATGAACAAGCAGCGCATACCATAGCACAGCATCGCAGCACAAACCATGTCATGTCATGGCAAAGCCAGCTTACCATAACAACACATAGCATAGCTTGACAATCATCACACCTACCATGACAATGACATCACATGCCATAGCATACCATAGCTTAGCGCAGCCTCACAACGCTTGGCATGACAGCGCGGAGCATACAACACACAGCATAACGCCACATGACATGACCTTACCTAGCATCACCTAACATATCATGACAGGGAAGAACATACCATCCCATGGCATGCCATTAGAACTCGCATCATGACTCAGCATCACAGCAAACATGATTGCATAGCATGACAACGAATAACATTACAGAGCGCGGATCGACATGTTATAGAGCAGCAGAGCGCAGCATCGCACAATGCCATACGCGATTGCACGGTGGATAACACATACCTGATCGTAACACCACACCTCATACCGCGGCTTAACACACCATGTAATAGCCTATGGCGCACCACATATACCCATAGCATAGCATGGCATGGCCAAGCATGTCATACCACATCGTCATATCACACATCAGCCCATGGCATTAAACTCACAGTCAGGATACACCTCTGCATACTAAGTTATAACATGACATACAATAGCATAGCAACACACCATACCATAACAACTCATACCATACTATAGCATATCATTACATGGCATGCCATATAACATCATACGAACGCATGCTACGACATAAAGGGCCATGCATCACACACCATACCACCACTAATCCCATAACACCACACACCAGACCAACTTGTGACCTCTACTGCCATGACATAGCATCTCATAGCAGTGCATATCCGTTCATACAATGGCAGCACATACCGTACCATCACACATGATCACACATCGCGGAATCCCATAACATAACAGTGCATACCATAACAGATCGTTGCATCACCTGGCATAGCATAGCAGCACATGACAGAGGACAATAGGTCGTCTCTTGAGAGAACCACGTAACTCAGCATCGAGCATCGCATCACATTTCAGTGCATGCCATGAGAGAACGGAGCATAGTAGGGTATATCATAAGTGATCATAGCAGAGCGTACCAGGTGTGTTTCACGACTCCTACTATAACCGCGGCGAACGTAGATTCCCCATCGTAGATGTTGACGTATAACAGAGGAGTATCCTGACATACCAGAGCCCTAGATAATGTCATGAACAGGGCACAACGTAACCAACATACTATAACATAACGGTTTAGCTATCGATTCACTACGACAGCGAGTTTGAAAACCTTAATGTATGAGGTCTGTCAACACTGCCACCAACTCATATAGCGTAAACTGCATCTCTGAACAAACCACGACATCATATCATCTGACAGAACACATCCTGCCATAACACGTTGCCGCACAGCAAAAACGCAATTTGCAGGAGGAAAGGGAGCACCATGACATAACACACCGCATTCTAATCTCATCACGCGATGTGCACACCGAGGTCGGGTCCGCGGACACCGCCGACATCGAGGGGTTAGCGTCGACCCGCATCATGAGGAGGAGCCATGTTCCGCTGGGCCCCTGCGCAGCACCGCCTCTCGGCCTAGACGAACCCTGAAGCAGGGGCCACGGGCTTCCGGCTTCGGCTTCGGTTTGGGCGTCCGAAGGCCTTGCATCCTTCTCGCGCATCCTCATGATCCGGTCGCGCTGTATTCCCGCTTGCGTATGTCTGGTGCCGGAAGTCGGAGGGCACCAACTATACACCAACACCGATCCTGGCCCAGGATTACCCTGGGCCCATGATCGGTGTATATGCCTTCTTGCCCAAGGCAGGAGGGCGTATACACCGATCCTGGGCCCAGGGTGATCCTGGCCAGGATCGGTGTTGGTGTATAGTTGGTGCCCTCCTAGGAAGGGGCCCACCGATCCGTCCGAGACCCGCGTGATGTAGTGGAAGGCTGTTGATCTGTGCCTTGGGTAGTTCTCTGCGCGGAGTCTTCAAATTGTAGGGCGTTTCGTCAGCGTCGCTGTCGGAGCGCAGGACACATCGAGGGGTTCGACTGCGCGGCCGCTTCGAAGCCCGTGCAGGGAGCCCGTGGGTGGGCCGCTGAATTCCATGCGTGCTTCCTGCCTCCTGGGCCCTCCACTTTGCATTCCACTGGCGGGCAGCGGGCGCGGTGCCCAGTGGCCCAGGTCTCCAGAGGCCCTCTGGCGCCATCTTGAGCCAGAGGTCCGTCTCCTCTGAGCTTCAGGTGGTCCCGGCAGAGCCCCAGGTCGTCAGACGCTTCGTTCACAGGCGCCATCGTGACGATCATCATCCTGCGCGGCGTCGTTATTGCATTCATTCTGGCTGAGCCAGCTCGGTCCGAGTCGGCTGAGCGCCCCGTACTCTTGATCAGAGTGGTGAAAGATTTGGCCTGGATGGCTTTGATGTGGCAGCCAATGCTGCGCCATAAGGTTGCGCAGCCGATCGGCGCCAGCTCGCAGAAGGCCTCGTACGATAAGAAGGCAGACAAACGCACGAGCACAGAGCAGGATGCCACGACCCTCCAGCACGAGTTCGGGTCGTACGCATTTCGCGAGTGGGAGGGCGAGAAGGGCGAGACCTACCACATCGAGGCGTCGGGCGAGGCCACGCCCTGGACCTGCACCCTCCTGGAGAAGAACGGCCACTCCAAGAAGTTCAAGGTGTACCCCGACGAGGCCTCCGGCAAGATCTGGTGGGGGCAGGGCTGGACCTTTTTCTGCAACCTCCGCGCCGAGGAGGCGCACCAGACCCTTGCCCTCAGCTGGTACAGGCCCGGCGCCAGGACGCCCTCCTTCGTCTGGTGGGCGCAGCCCGAGGCTCCCGCCGGCCCCGGCCGCGCCGCGGAGGACGGCGCGCGCCCGGCGCGGGCGGCGCCCCCCGGCGGCAGGGCGGCCGCGGGGCTGCCCCGTTGGCGGCCGAAGCCCGCCGCCGCGCCGCGGCCGGAGGCGGAGGGGGCGGGCGGCGCGCCGAGCGCGGGGCCGGGCGGCGGGGCGGCCGAGGGGCCCGCGGAGGGCGGCGGGGGCGCGGGGGGCGGCGGCGAGGCCGCGCGGGGCGCGCCGCCCGAGCCCGGGGGCGGAGCCGCGGCGGTGGCCGGGCCGCCCGAGCCCGTGGGCGCGGGCTGCGGCTCCCAGGCGCGCAGCATCGCGAACCTCAGGGAGCAGCTGGAGGAGGAGGAGCGGCGCCAGGCCCCGCGCGGGGGGGGGGAGGGCGGGGCGGAGGAGGCGCAGGGGTCCAGCGTCTCTGCCATTTCTCTCTGGCTCCTTGTCCGGCGGCTGGACGAGGGTCGAGGAGGAGGAGGAGGAGGAGGAGGAGGAGGAGGAGGAGGAGGATGAGGAGGAGGGGGAGGGGGAGGGGGAGGAGGAGGGCGAGACACGGCGCGAGACGGAGGAGTGGCGGGACGGGGGTCGGATGGGCGCGGGGGCGGAGGGGACGAGGGGAAGGGAGCGAAGGGGACGAAGGGGACGAGAAGGCGAGGGGATGGGATCGGGAAGCGAGGGGACGGAGCAGCAGCGGGATGAGGACGAGCGGACAAGCACACGAGGAAGGAGCGAGAGCCGTCGGCACTGCCCGTTAGAGTCCGCCCGCTCGACTGCAGGGCCCCCGCACCCCCGCCCGGTCTCATGGTTCGCCCCCTCGACCCGCCCGCCAGGGTCATCCCACCCAGCCCACGCGTTAGGGCCCGCCCGCCCGTTTCGCCCGTCGTCGCTCGTCGCTGTCGTGGTCGTCGTCATCGTCGTCGTCGTTGTCGCCGTCGGCGACGACGTCGACGTCGTCGTCGTCGCCATGGCCGCCGTCGTTGGCGTCGTCGTCGCCGACATCGTGGTCGTCGTCGTCGTCGTCGTCGCCGCCGTCGTCGTCGTCGTCGTCGTTTTCGATTGTTGTTGTCGTCGTCGATCGTCGCAGTCGGCGTCGTTGCCGTTGCCGTCGTCGTTGGACGCCGTTGATCGTCGTCATCGTCTTCGTCTTCATCATTCTTCGTCGGTCGTCGCAGTCGTTGCAGTCGTCGTCATCGTCGTCGTCGTCGTGATCGTTGTCGTTGTCGTGATCGGAGCCGTTGGTCGTCATTGGTGGTCGTCGTTTGGCGTCGCTGTCATCGTCGTCGTCGTCGTGATCGTTGTCGTGATCGACGCCGTTGAACGTCATTGTTGGTTGTCCGTCGTCGTTTAGCGTCGCTGTCATCGTTATCGTCGTCGTTGTTGTTGAACTCTTATCTCTGAAGAGTAATTACTGTTGCCCCCCCCCCGCCTGGTGCCTACTGTTTGTTTGTCATTTGAAGTGCTGTCCACTACCAGGGAAAGCTTGGTGTCACCAAACTGCGTTTTTGGCCGCCGGACTACAGCAACCTCAGGAATCGCGCTCCAGTCTTGGACTTGCTTGCAAGTTATTGACGCTACGCTCTCGATGCCTGGGAATCGCACTCTCGCACGATGCCTCTGCGATTCATTCTCTCACGACTCGTGCCCTCGCCCGAGGCATCTTCACAGTTCACGAAGTTCGCTTCAGCGCCTCCCAACGCCCGACCCGCCCGTTAGGGCCCGCCTTTCGCGTGCTTGGAAGCCTGCCCGCCCGCTTCAGTGTCACGCCCAGTTCGCCCATCAGAGCTCGCCCACCCGGCTCGCCAGTTAGGCTCCGCTCGCCCGACCCGCCCGTGGAAGTCCGCCCGCCCAACCTTCCCGCCAGGATCCGGCCTGTCGCGCGCTTGAAGCCCGCCAGCTCGCTTGATGCCCCGTCCGCCCGACACGCCCGTTGTCGTCCGCCAGTTCGACCCGCCCGGTTGGGCTGGCGCACGTCAGGGTCCGCTTGTCGCGTCTACTGTTCCTCTCTCTCTCTCTCTCTCCTCCCGCTAGATCTTTTGTGCCTTCACTCAAACCTCATCCATTTCTACTGACCCCTCCATTCTCTTTTCCTCCTCCTGTCCTCGCCGTCTCCCTTTCCTTTTCCCTCCTCCACCTCCTATTTCAGGGGCCGCCCCAGCTACACGTGGCAGACAAGGAATGGGTACACATGTTGAGTGATACGAGGGCAGCGCAGAGCGAACAGTGTACAACTGATGTTTGAGTTCTCGTTTCTAAATAGGAATAAGTGTTGATCCCCCCGCCCGGTGCCCGTTGCATTCTCCGATTGAGGTGCCCCCTCTGGGCTCACACACTGTCCCTTATCAGGGGAATTCTGGAGCCTCGAGCTGGGTTGCTGGCCCCCGGACTACCACACCAGCGGCTCCCGCTTGACACCTCCTCCCTGTCCCTTGAGGAAGCGCCCTCTCGCTCGAGCCCTCGCTGCAACCTGCCCAGGCATCGCGCTCTCGCCTGGGACGTCCTTGCAACTGATTCAGCCGCCGCGCTCTTGACGCCCAGGCATCACGCTTTCGCGCGGGACTCCCTCAAGTTGAGGGGGCGACAAGAAATCGGGAGAGAGTAAAGGAGGAAGGAGGGAACGAAAAGGGAAAGGGGCAAGATGAAGGGAGGATCATCGAGGATGCAGGGGATTCGGCAGGAGGGGGAGCCGTGCTCTCGCCGTGAAGCGTCTTCGCCATGTGCCGAGGTCTCTCCAGCGCCCCGCCCGGCCAGCTCGTTCTGGGGCCCGCCCGCCCGACCCACCCGTGTGGGTCCGCTCGCTGTTCTTCCTGCTCCTCTTTGCTCCCCCTCCTGCTGAATCCTTTTCGTCTTCAATCAGAGCGTGAATCACCCACCCCGCTTTCGCTTCCAGGCAAAGCCAGGTCATACCACGCGCCTCCTCGTCAAGCGGCCTGACCAGTACAGGCCGTAGTTCGGCATCGCTTGGTATCTCTTGGAAGCGAGGGTGGTCAAAAGCGAGGTCGGTTTGTTTGCCCCCTATTCAATCGGCATCACCTCAACATACCAGCACTGCGTGTGCGTCGCCTCCCGTGGGCGACGTGCGCGCCGAGAAACTGTATAGCGTAAGCTCCGTGGCGGGCGCTGCCCGGCCGTGCCGCTCGGGAAACGATCGATTACATTGTGTTTATACGATTTGTTCGGGACGGACGCACGCCTCCGAGGAGGAAATATATATATATATATATAGTACTAGTATGTCCTTGAGCGTCCCACTCAATGGTCCTCCCTCCATCTTGCCCCTCTCTCTCTTTTCGCTTCCTCCTTTCTTGCTCTCTCTCTCTCTCTCTCTCTCTCCCTGTGTCTTGTCCCTCCCTCTTCCAATTCCGGGCCGCGCCAGAGTCACGCTGCATGCAAGGAAGACATATCCCACAAAGAGGATACGATGGAGGGCGATGAGGGCTAGTATCGAGTGCGGGGTACACAGGTTGAATGTCACGCGAGCAACGACGGGCGAGCAGTCTTGAAAATCGTGTGGAATTCCCACCTCTGAAGAATAGGTGTTGTTGATCCTCCACCTCCGAGGACCATTTTATTGTTCAATCAACCTGCTCTTCCTGGGGCTCACACCCTGTTTTTTATTAGGGAAAGCTTGATATCACCAAAGTTTAGAGTTGGGCCCCCAACTACAACAACAACGGCTCCCGCCTGATTCGTTCTCACAATGTATTCCAGAATCGCGCTCTCGCGCGGGACTTCCTCACTATATATGCAGGGATCTCGCTCTCGCGTGAGACTTCCTCACAATTTATGCAGACCCGCGCCCTCGACACTCAGGAATCACGCTCTCGCTTCGGCTTTTCTCCCCATTTTTGGGGGAATCGCGGCGTCGCTCGGGACTTGCTCGCGATTCACGCAGTACCCACATTTCAGAGATCTGCGTGCTCGACCTGGCCGCTTGGGCCCGCACCCGCCCGCTAGGGTCTTCCCGCCCGATCTGCCCGTCTGGTTCTGCCACTTGTTTTCTGCTCCTAGCCCCCCTCCTGCTAGCGCTAACTTCTCTCCTGCTCCATCCTTTTCCATCCCCCTCCATCCGTCCTCTCTTCCCTTGTTTCAGGGGCTGCGCTAAATGCACGTGGCAGGTAAGGAAGATATGCCCCCAAGTGGGTACGATCGAAGATGAAGAGGGCGGGTACCGAGGGTTTGGGATATACGTGTTGAATGGTTCGCCAGCAGATACGAGCGAGCAGACTGCTCTTTCTGCGGTTGTTGAGTTCTCATCGCTAAAACAATTATAGTTGATCCCCTCCTTCCGACAACCCTTGCTCTTTTTACAATTGGAGTGCCCCTCCCGTGGCTCGCACCCAGTTTTCTTGACAAGGACAGCGTGGTGTCACCAAATTTCACCAAATTGGCTTGGTGGGCCCCGAACTACAACAACAACGGTTCCCGCCTAATACTTCATCACAAGTTGTTCCGAAATCACGCTCTCGCGCGGGACGTCTCACAATTTATGCAGGAGTCGGTTTCTCACGTGGGACGCCCTCGCAATTTATTCACACGCCGTGCCCTCCACACCCAGGAATCACGCTCTCGCACTAGCCTTCCTCACGATTCACTCGGGAATCGCGGTATTTCTCGAGCTCACCTCGCGATTCATGCAGCAGTCACGCTTCAGCAACACGCCTTCTCGACCTGGCCGCTTGGGCCCGCCTTCCCGACCAGCCTTGTAGGGTTTACCCGCCCGATGGGCTGTTCTGGTTATGCCACGTGTTGTCTGCTCCTGGCGCCCCTCCTGCTAATCCCGTGCTCTGCCTTTCTCCCGTCCCCTTCCATCCCGTCTTCTCTTCCATTGCTTCATGGGCTGCGCCAGTTACACGCGGCAGGTAAGGATGATATGTCCCCAAGGGGGTACGATCGAAGACGTAGAGGGCTGGTACGGAGGGCGTGGCATATACGTGTTGAATGGCACGCGGGCAGATATGAGCGAATCGTTTCAACATGATTGTTGTTGTTGTTGTTTATGTTGCTCTTGCTTTGGTTGAATATTGAGGGGGCTCACGGCCCAGCCCCACCCCAACAGCAACAACCACGACCACCAGCACCACCACCAACACCTACAATTACAACTACTACCGCTGCTACTACTACTACTACTACTACTACTACTACTACTGCTACTACTACTACTACTACTACTACTACTACTACTACTACTACTACTACTACTACTACTACTACTACTACTACTACTACTACTACTACTACTACTACTACTACTACTACTACTACTACTACTACTACTACTACTACTACTACTACTACTACTACTACTACGACTACGACTACGACTACGACTACGACTACGACTACTACTACTACTACTACTACTA